CACCCTATATATCGCCCTCCCATTACGCGCCCCCCGAGTTGATAGCTACCCCCCCCTCCGGTCGTGCACGTGATCGCTGGCACTTCCACACTCTTCGGAGCGGCTGGCCCGCAGGACTGACACGTCCGTACGAGGTACGGCGGGCGGAAGGGTGGGCAGCAGACGGGCAGAGGGGCAGGATGTGGGGGAGAGGGGACGAGGAGGAGGACGAGGATGGGAGGAGGAGGAGAAGGGATGGGACGAGGGGACGAGGAGGACGAGGAGAGGGGACGAGGAGGAGGAGGAGGAGGAGGAGAAGGGATGGGAAGGGTGAGGACGAGGACGGGAGAGGAAGAGAGAGGACGTCCTGCCCCTCCCTCCCATCCCTTACCATGGCGTAGATATCCTTCCTATTCGCGCAGTCGGACGCCGAGCAGGGCAAGGATCTCAAGAGGTACGCGAAGGATGGAAAAGCATGGCGTAGAAGAGCACGGCAGAGCATAGCATGTCATAGCATGGCGTGGCACTGCGTCGTGAAGCATTGTATCACAAAGCATGGCAACACAAAGCATCGTATCGCACAGCGGTGCACAACACAGCATCGCATTGCATGCCGTGGCATGGCACCGGAAGACTTGGAGGGTAAATGGCCCGTCTACGAGAGGACAGAGCCTGTCCGCAATGCCGGCTCCATGTCCTGCGCAAACGTGCCTGCCCGATGTGGGCGCTTTCAAATGCCAAGTGCAATCCGGAGGTGCGGGAACGAGGCCAGCGCTGCAGCGTGAGCACGATTTTGAATGACCGAAGTGCGGAAATAAGAGCAGAGCTGCAGCGGGAACACCATTCTGGAAGAACAAGAAACGACCGTATTGCGGAAACACATAGAAGCAACACAAATCATGAAATCCTGCATGTAAAAAACAATACGCGGAGAGGACGGGACACTCTCCGGACAGAGTCAGGGGAAAGAGAGCAGAGTAATACTCGTATATTGTGTAATCGTAGAAAACGGGCGGTGGACAAACCTCCCTTTAGTAAACCTCCCTTTAGTGAAAACGGCCCAGGACCGAAACCGACGGACCTGGACCCGCGAAAGTGACGGCCGCGACGCCCTCTCGCGAACCGAACACGGCCAATTCCTCAATCGACGTGTCAGGGTAGGAGGTCTGTCCACCCCCGAGAAAACGGGACGGGGGGGGGAACCAGAAGGAGCAAGAGCGAGGACGGGGAGGGGCATGAGGGTCGAGGCAGGGCTGGGAGGAGCGCAAGGAGCACGAAGGGCCAGAAGCGGACACGGAGGACAGCCCAGACCTGAAGGGGCCCAGGGACACACAAATAAATACACACAAATAACCAGATTCCCCATATTTTCCTATATTTTCTGGGTGTCTGTCTTCCCCCATTTCCCATACTTTCCTATATTTTCTGGGGAATCGACGATTCATCGTGTCTGTGTTTTTCTTCCCTCCTGATCCATCCGGCGCCGCACAGGAGCGGCCCCAGACTTATGCTGTCCCCATCCTACTTAAGGACCGCATCCCAGAGATAATCTCGAGCACCCAGAAGAGTGTCCAGAGAGTGTCGAGACAGTGTCAAAGCAGTGCCGGGCGAGTGTCTCCCAGTGCCAGGAACGTGAAAACCCTTGAGTTTCGGTATTGTTTTTGGCGCTCGAAATACTTTCTGGTCATCAAGGCTAAAGTACGTTGGAGCATCATAATTCCAGACGAGGCTGGCCTCTCGCGCGCAGCGTGCCAGGGGGGTGGAGGGGGGCGGGGCCACGCCCAGGCAGGCCACTGCTGTCGCCAGTCGCCCTCCACGATCGGCGGGGAGGGGGATAAGGAGGAGGAGGAGGAGGAGGAGGAAGAAGAGGAGGAGGAAGAGGAGGAGGAAGAGGAGGAGGAGGAGGAGGAGGCGGGCACGCCGGGCGAGGGGCGGCTGCTGTGCGAGGCCGAGTCTGGGGGGGGGGGCAGGGGCAGAGGGAGGCCCAGGGGCGTCGGCACGAGGGCGAGGGCCCCGGCCTGCAGCACGCCACCGCCGCCCGCGGGCGGCGGCAGCGTGCCGAGGGGGGGCAGCGGCGCCGGGGGGGAGGGGGGGTACTCGGACTCGGACTCGGACTCGGACTTGCCATAGGAGGGCTGGCGGGGGCCCGGCAAATTGGCGCCGTGGCGCCGCGCAGCTGCACGGCCCAGTGATCGATCGATCCATGTGACACGGGGCGAAAGTGAAACGCGACAGGTGCGTAGATCATTGGCAGGGCAAGGAGGGAGAGAGGAGCAGCATGGCAAGAGGGAGGGGGGAGCGCCAGTGCCGCATGAGCCCGGGAGTCTCCGGGCACCCTGCGCCCCAGCCACGGACGCGACCTGGCCGCCCGAGGCGGAGAAGGAAGAGCAGTGGAGTCGTGAGCGTCTGGGCGGAGGCCACCCTGGGGGAGAGGGGGAAGGAGGAGGAGGAGGAGGAGGAAGGGCAGGGAGGAGGGGAGGAGGATAGCCCGAGGGCTCCCTGCTGCGCGCCCCCACACAGCCGCCATGGTCATCCCGGCTGGGCTCTGCTGGCTTCCCCACTATCTCGCTCAAGGGGGCCCTGCTCATGTCATCGCCAGTGCCGCACAGGGCTCCATGCGAGCCAAGTTCAAGATCATCCTTGAACCTCACGGCGAGGTCCAAGGATGCGATGTGCTCATGGCGCGGCTCGCATGGTGAGGTAATCATGGCTCAAGCAGACGCTGGTACTGATGGCGAAGCCCTCGCCATGAGTACCAACGTCCGTTTCAGATGCCCCAGGATGCCCGCGAAGGTCGCCACGTGGCGGACGTCGAGCCTGATTGCGGGGAGCGTGCCCAGCACTGCTGGCATGGCGTCGCACTGCACATCTGGAACTGCTGCAATCGTCGATCCCCCTCTCTTGCCGTCGATGCCCACCAGCAGGCCCTCCAGCATGACTTTCTGCGCTTTCTGGCGAGGGCGAGGTGCTTCACCGAGAGCCGTGAAGAGACGACGCCGTGGGCGGGCGTTGAGCCAAAAGCAGACTTCCACCCTGCCCGATGAATGCTTGTGGCCACGGTCGGCCCCTGTGCACCGGGGAGCCAGTCGCCGCCCGAGTGCGTCCCGGACACCCAGCAGATGCGAGGCGGGGATCCATCCATGTCCACCGCCTGGGAGCCGACGTCCTGGGCGGGCGGTGGACATGGACATATTTCGGCCCCCAGGGGCCCGAATATGTCCATATCCAGCGCCTGCCGAGGCTCCGAAAACTGACCCTCCAGGCGGTGGATACTTTTGGATAAACTCCCGCCTCGGATCCCGAAGCGCGTGCTACTCGGACGAGGTTTCATGGGGCCACAGCGCCACTTCAGAATCATGGTGCTACGCCGCCCACGGGACAGCAGCGACCTCCACGGCGGGGGTCCCGACCTCGGCCGCAGAGGCTCTGCACGTGCTTTTTTGCCGAAGCTCGTCGGCGGGGTCAGGACCCCTGGCCTCGCCAGCTGGAGCCGCGTTGAGTTTTTTTTTTGAAGCGGAGGACCCCCTGGAATTCCCGGCGCTTCCGTGCGCTATGTTCCAATGCAGGAGTTTAGCGCCAACCACACTCGACGACAGGCGCGGTGTCGTCTGGATTGCATTCTGAGCCGGGCTTCAAGCTGCTGGAACGGAGTGCCTGGCAGACAATAGCGGACTGAAGAGCAGCTGGAGCCGCGTTGAGGGCACGTGGGAGGTGCGAGTCGTATGAGAGGAGCCCTGCGGGTGGAGCCTCGGACCAGACTCGCTGCAAGGCTGGATCCGGCTCGTGCCACCGCAGCCCGAGGGTGCCGTCTGCGGGCTGGCCCTCTCGGAGGGCGGGCTCTGGCTCCTGCCGACGCGCCCCCCCTGCGGCCTCGTCTGGCCCTCTCCACCTCCTCCTAGTGCTCCTCCTCTGTCTCTTTCTCCTCCTCCTCCTCCTCCTCCTCCTCCTCCTCCTCCTCCTCCTCCTCCTCCTCCTCCTCGTGTTCCTCCTCCTCCTCCTCCTCCTCCTCCTCCTCGTGTTCCTTCTCCTCCTTCTCCTCCTCCTCCTCATCCTCCTCCTCCTCCTCCTCAGCGTCTCGCCTGTTGGAAGGGGAGCTCCTAGGCTTGGGGCATTCTTTGGTGTTGAGGGGAGGCTCTGTGGGGCCCTGCGGCCGTACCTGCTGCTGGACTGCGTCCTTGGGCCATGCCCTCGGGGCGCGCTGCGACATCGGACCTTTGGAGCGAACGAAGAGGAAAAAACGCATCTTTTTATTCGCGGCCACAACGAGCGTTACAGTCGGGGCGTTGACCTAAGGAACCCTAACTAAGGAACGAACCCCCTTTTTACCATAAGTTAATCTTCGATTTCCTATCGGAAACATAAGGAAAACCTGAGGCAAGCTGTGAAACACTTAAGGAACGCGGAGCCCCTCTCCAACGAAAAGGGTTCCTTCTTCAGGGCCCCGACTGTATGGGGGGGAGGGGGGGGACGGGAGAGGGCATAACGTAGCGCCTCCCCCCCCTCCCCCCCAAGTCTGTGGTGTCGGACGCACTGCGGCAGTGCCCGGGATGCACTGAGGGAGGGCGCGTCACGTTATGGGAGGGGGGGGGAGGGTAGGGGGCATAACGCGCGTCATGGCCCAGAGGGTGACAAAAAACACTCTCAAAGGGGAGGGGGAGCAGGACGGGAAAGGTGGGTGGAAACGAAGGGGGCTGTCGGGCCATCACTCTGATCTCTGGCGCCGCTTCCGGACGACTCCGGCGCCCCCCGCAGCGCGCCATCAGCGAGCCGCAGCTGCTGGAGAGCATCCTGGGGCAGAGAGCCTCCGGGAGATGCTGGAGAGCATCCTGGAGGGGAGCAGACGAGAGGCAGACGACGACTGCGACGGCGGCAGCGACCACGCCGACCACGAAGGCCCCCGCCTCGACGCCGCCAGTGACGCAGCGCCTTAAGGCCGGAGCAGCCGCCGGCTCCTCCCCCCTCTCTCCTCCAGGAGGGGCGCGGACGAGGACGGCGGCGGCGGCGGCGACGAGAGCCCTGGCCTCCACGCCGCGGGTGACGCAGCGCATCAAGTCCGGGCCAGCCGCGGGCAGGACCTCCAGGTCGGGCGGGCCGCCGAGTAGGAAGGATGGAAGAGGGCAAAGGTCCAAGAGGAGGAGGAGGAGGACGAGGAGGAGGAAGAGGGGGAGGGGGAGGGTACACTAAGCGGGGTGAGAGAGTGCGAGCCTTCTCCTTTCCTGCAGCTCGGCTGGGCGGTCCGCTCTGGTCGCTAGGAGCACCGCGTGAAGTGTTTTAACAAACGGGAATGGATAGGGGGAGGATGAAGAGCCCTGCTGCTGAGCTGATGATCGCCAGTGAAGAGGGCGGAAAAGACCTCCTCGGTCCTCCTCCTTCTCCTCGGGGGAAGGGGAAGAGGATGGAAAAGGGAGAGAGGGGAGGGGGGGGCCGATCAGACGCGGCATCGCAATAGTCCGCGCGCCGTTTCGCTGGATGCTCTCACCCAGAAGGCCAATGGGGGTAACTTGTTTCCCTGACCTTCCTGCGTGGGGTACTCGTTTGGAAGAGAGCACCGCGGTCGCACACCATCCTTCCTTCGTTCCTTCCTTCCCGCCCCCTCTCCCCTTTTCCTGCCTCTCACCTTGCTCCTTCCTGCGTGCCAGCTTGCCTCCTACCTGGCCATCCCTGGGGGGCTGCGATCTGCGAAACTGTCGCCACTTCCGAGGGCTGCTGGGGGGTCCAGCGGATTGATTTCTTACCCAAATTCGAATTCGACCTCGCCATCCTTGGGGGGCTGCGATCTGCGAAACTGGCGCCACTTTCGAGGGCTGGTGGCGGGTCCAGCGGAGCGACGTCTTACCCAGACGCACTAGACTCCGCCATCCGTGGGGGGTCCGATCTGCGAAACTGCCGCCGCTTTCGGGGGCTGCTGGGGGCTCCAACGAAATGACGTCTTACCCAGACTCGAACTAGACCTCGCCATCCCGGGGGGGCTGCGATCTGATAAACTGTCGCGAGGGCTGCTGGGGAATCCAGCGGAACGGCGTCATACCCAAATTCAAATTCGACCTCGCCGTCCCTGGGGTGCTGCGATCTGCGGTCGCCATTTCCAAATACTTTCGAGGCTTGCTGTGTGGTCCAGCGGAGTGACGTCTTACCCACACGCAGACTAGACTTCAGCATCCCTGGGGGGGTGCGATTTGCGAAACTGTCGCCACTTTCGAACGGCCCCTGGGGGGCCCAGCGGAGTGACGTTTTACCCACATTCAACATGAAACTCGCCATCCCTGGGAGGCTGCGATCTGCGAAACTGCCGCCGCTTTCGAGGGCCGCTGGCGGGTCCAGCGGAATGACGTCTTACCCACATTCCAAGTAAACCTCGCCATCCTTGGGGGGTTCCGATATGCGAAAATGCCGCCACGTTCGGGGGCTGCGATCTGAGAAACTGTTGCCACGTTCGGGGGGGTTGCCGAGGAGGTCCAGCGGAGTGGCGTGTCACCCTGATTCAAACTAGACCTGGCCATCCCTGGGGGGCTGCGATTTGCCAAAGTGTCACCATTTTCGAGGGCCACTGGGGGGGGGCTAGCGGAATGACGTCTTACCCAGACTCCACCCCTGGGGGAATGCGATGTGCGAAACTGACGCAGGGCGGGTCTCGAGGTGAGTCGCGGGGTGGGTCGGGGGGGCGCGCGTGGGACGATGGCAACAAACAACAATCAACCATGGCCCGCACCGTGGGACTCCACTTCAACTGCGCACCTGGCGACTGTGTGAAATCGCGCAGTATTTACACGGATGGGGGGGGCTGTCCTTTTTTCATGGCGGGGTTTTCGCTTGACACTTCCTAAAACGTGCTTGTCCTACCTATGTGTACTGTTTGCTTACAGCATAACTGGTGGACCCTTTTGCAGACGGGGTCTCGCAAACTTACATGGCCCGCCCACCGAGCGCTCATAATTCCAAGGGGGGCGCTTCCCGCAGCAGAAAGAAGTACTATTGGCAATTACGAGGAGGCGAATTGGAATGGGAGGACACGGACTGCATCACCGTCGACGCATGTTGAGACGAATGTCGGCTTACGGCTAACAAACACGAGCTGCGCGCTGGTGGCTCGCGCCGACACCTGGCCGACAGAAGGGAGCAACAGACGCGACGCAAGCGGCGCCGAATCAACGGATGGGGACAGCAGCGCCTCCGCTATAGCGGGGCGGTTGGGCCAAAACGGCTACAGACAGGCGGGAAAGAAGCGGGGGAACGGGCGCCTCAGCGGGCGGCGCCGACATGTCTACATACCTAAAAAGAAGAGGAGGGAGGAGCAGCACGGGCAGGCGGACAGGGCGCCTCCTTCTCGTTCTCCCCCCTCGCCCCCCTTCACTGCAATATGTCCTACGGCGACGATAACGACGACGACAAAAACGACGGCGACGGCGACGGCGACGACGACGGCGGACGACATCGACGACTGACTGCGGATGCCCCCTGGGCCACGGGGGGAGGGCTGCGTAGGCCCAATGTAATTGACATCGGCGACGACGACGACGACGACGGACGACGACGACGACGACCACGACGCACTGCGGATACTCCCTGGGGTACTGCGGATACCCCATGGTGGGCCCAATGTATTCGCCGTCGGCGACAACGACGACGGACGACGACGACGACGCCCGACGACGACGACGACGACGACGACGACGACGACGACGACGATGACGACGACGACGACGACGACGACGACGACAGCGACGGACGGCAACGACGAGGGACAAAGACGACGGCGGCGACGGCGACGACAATGACGACGACAACGACGCGACGACGACGACGACGACGACGACGACTGCGGACGACGGACGACGGACGACGACGACGACGACGACGGCGGACGACGACGACGACGACTACGGACGACGGACGACGGACGACGACGACGACGACGACGACGACGACGCCGGACGACGACGAGGACGAGGACGAGGACGAGGACGAGGACGACGACGACGACGACGACGACGACGACGACGACGACGACGACGACGACGACGACGACGACGGCGGACGACGACGACGACGACGACGGCAACGCGACGACGACGACGGCGACGACGCACTGCGGATACCCCATGGGGGGGAGGGAAGGGGACGACGACGACGACGACGACGACGACGACGACGACGACGACGACGACGATGACGACGACGACGATGACGACGACGACGACGACTACGGCGACGACTACGGCGACGACGACGCCGACAACGACGACGACGACGACGACGACGACGACGACGGACGACGGACGGCCAAGGCGACGGCGACGGCGACGACGACGACGACGACGACTGCAACGCGACGGCGACGGACGACGACGACACACTGCGGATGCCCCATGGAGGGGGGGTGCTGCGTAGCCCCGCTGGAGTCGACCGACGGCGACGACGACGACGACGACGACGACGACGGAGAACGACGACGAGTCGACAACGACGACGACGACGACGACAAAGACGGCAAAGACGACGACGACGACGACGACGACGACTGTGGCACGTCAGTAAGCAGCCTGAGAAGGGGGAACAATTTCGCTTCGGATGTATACGTCCCCTGATACTTACTTCTATACAGAAGGCAATCGTCTTGAGGCTGCCGTGCAGGGGGGTTCACGATCTCCTCGGCGGCGCCCGCGACGACCCCCTGGCGCGCGTGACAAAAAAATGTGTCGCGCCCCGCGGGATCTATTCATCAGCCCCGGGCGGGGGCCTCATTTGTGAATCAGAAGCTGGCATTGCTCTGGTCCTCCTGCTTCGCCGCCGTTCTCTTCATCCATCCTCTTCCTCCTCCTCCTCCTCCTTCTCCTTCTCCTCTTCCTCCTCCTGCTCCTCCTCCTCCCTCCCTCCCTTCCTAGCATTCCCACTCGGGAATCTTCTGACCCGGGTCGATCCAAACCCGGGTCAGCAAGAAACCCAAAAACTGCAATGCATGAAAAAAACACTGCAACGCAGGTATTCGCAAACCCGGGTCAGCCAATATGTGCGGCCGCCTCACGGCCACGAGCGGCTCGCTAACCCAGGTCAGCCAGAGGGGGTCTTCGCAGGATCCTGCAGGATCCGGTGCCCTGGCTGACCCCCATTTGCATTGACCCCCGTCTCAAGGCTCCCGACCCACTCCCCCTCCTGCTCCGCTGGGGAAATGGAGGCTGGGGGGGAGGGGAGGAAGGGAGGAGGGGAGCCGGGGAGCAGGGAGACAGGGAGGAGGGGAGGTGGGGAGGGGGACATGCCGCCGCGGACAAGCCCAGCGTCGCTGGGGCACGGACGCTGATGCCAAAGGACAGGTCGCGCTCTGGTTTCAGCAGCGCGCTCTGGTAGACGCCGCTGTCCAGGCGGCGGGTGAACTCCGTGAACCACCTGGCGGTGGGGGGGGGACAGCCTCCGCCACGAGGGGGGAGAGGGAGGAGGGAGAAGGGAGAGGCAAGGAGGAGGGAGGAGGGAGAGGCGAGGAGGAGGGAGAAGGGAGAAGCGAGGAGGAGGGGGGAGGGGGGAGGGAGGAGGGAGAAGGGAGAGGCGAGGAGGAGGGAGGCGGCGCTCCAGGTGGTCCCAAGATGCCTCCAAGACGGGCCGAGATGCACCCTGCGTGGCCCAAACATGGCCAAAGACGGCCCCCGAGACGCCCCGAGAAGGCTCCAAGAGGACCTCCAGGCCAAAACCATTGTTATTGTAGTTGTGTGTGTTTCTATTGTTTCAGCGTTCTGGCCTTTTCGGACTTCCGACGCTCCAAGACGGCCCCATTGGCCCCCAAGATCGCCGCACGTCGGCCCCAGAGACCCCCAAGAGGCCAGCAAGACGGCCCAGGAGGCCTCCAAGACTGCCCCATAGACCTGCAAGACGGCCCTGAAGCGCCCAGAGACGAACCCACGACTGCCCAGACCAAGACGGCATCCGAAGGCCAAGAGTTCTCTCAGAGGCTCCCACGAGGCCCCCGAGAGGCTCGCAAGAGTCTCCAGGAGGCCCCCAAGAAGCCCCAGGACGCTCCCAAGAGGCCCCAGGAAGGCCCCTAGAGAAAACCTCCGATTCTTCCTCCTCCTACTCCTCCTCCTCCTCCTCCTCCTCCTCCTCCTCCATTCCGTTTCCATCCTCCCTGTTGCACCACCAGCCGTGTCTGTGGGATACGTCCTCGCCAAGTATGATCCTGAAGCTTGAGACTTGCAATTGTTTCAAAGATGGAGCCCGGATCGTTTCCAAAGTGTGGCTCTGGCATTAGCGCCGCACAAATTCGTCTTCGAAACTTGCAACAGCTTCAAGGATAAACACCGGCTCGTTTGCATAATGTGGCTCTCGCCTCAGCGCCGCACACATTCGTACGACCCATCCCTCACCATCCGATGCAACTAATTATACCAGCCCTGTGGGCTAAGGTGGTCTAACGAGTTGTTTCGTTCCTCTTCCAAAACCTTCTTCCCTTCGGGGAGGCATACCCTCCCCCATCCCCTCTCTGAGGCCTTTTTGTATGGGGGTTCGCGAGGTGGCAGGGGGTCAATGTTCGTCCAAGATGACTCCAAGAGGGCCTCCTATGCTCCAAGATGGCCTCCAAAGCAACTCAAAATAACCGATGATTATTCGATATGGCTTCCGACATGCCTCCGAGAGGCCCGACGAGGATCGCAAGACAGCTCCACGTGCTCTCGGAGCCTCCTCAAGATGCCCCCCTATGAAACACAAAATCTCGAACATACCTCAACAACATAGCATTCGCTTCAGATGCGCTTTGACGCTTGAAGATGTCCCCAAGATTACAACATGGAACCAAAAGGCCCCAAGACGGCCCTGAGAGCGCCCAAGAACGCCCCAAGAGCGCCCCAAGAGGGCCGCAAGGGGCGATTTCGAGGGCCCCAGAAGGGGAGAGGGGCCAAACGTTACGACCCCTCGTTTTCATCGACGCCCTCCACGATAATCCCAAAAGGCCCTCTAGGGCCTCCAAGAGGCTCCCAAGAGAGCCCCCAAGAGGGCCCCAACACCCCCCAAAGAGCCCCAAGAGGATCCACAAAGGGCCCCAAGAGGCCCCAAGGCCCCCCACAAGAGCCCCAAGAGGACCCCAAGTTCACCCCCAAGAGGACCCAAAGAGGGCCCCAAAACATTCCAAAGGAGTCCCAAGAGGACCCCAAGATCCTTCCAAAAAGCCCTAAGAGGGCTCCAAGAGGCGATTTGAACCTCTGTCCTCGTCCTCGTTGCCCCCCTCCTCCTCCTCCTCCTCCTCCTCCTCCTCCTCCTCCTCCTCCTCCTCCTCCTCCTCCTCCCCTCCTCCTCACCTCCTCCTCCTCCTCCTCCTCCTCCTCCTCCTCCTCCTCCTCCTCCTCCTCCCTCCTCCTCCTCCTCCTCCTCCTCCTCCTCCTCCTCTCCTGCGTCCTCCTCCTCCTCCTCCTCCTCCTCCTCCTCCTCCTCCTCCTCCTCCTCCTCCTCCACCTCCTCCTCCTCCTCCTCCTCCTCCTCCTCCTCCTCCTCACCCTCCTCACCCTCCTCCACGTCCTCTTCCGCGTCCTCGTCCTCGTCCTTGCCCTCATCCTTTTCCGTTTCCTTTTCCTTTTCCTCCTCTTCCTCGTGGTCGCCGTCGTACTCGTAGTCGCGGTCGTGGTCGTGGTCGTCGTGGTCGTCGTGGTCGTGGTCGTGGTCGTGGTCGTGGTCGTGGTCGTGGTCGTGGTCGTCGTCGTCGGCGGCGGCGGGGGGCGTCGTGGTCGTCGTCGTCGTCGTCGTGGTCGTGGTCGTCGCCGCCGTCGTCGTCGTCGTCGCCGCCGTCGTCGTCGTCGTCGCCGTCGTCGTCGTCGTCGTAGTCGTCGTCGTCGTCGTCGTCGTCCTCTTCCTCCTCCTCCTCCTCCTTCTCCTCCTCCTCTTCCTCCTCCTCCTCCGCCTCCTCTTTCCCTTGCCCCCACGCGGGCTCCAGGGATGGCCCGAAGAGGCCCTCCGGAGCCCCCCCCTTGCTTCAGAGATCTCTCTGTTCATCCTGGTTGACCGCTCAGTTTCACTATCTGTGTCTCTTCGTCCCTTCGGCAGAGTTTGTGAATAAGCTGGTGTGGATTTGTTCGCGAGCGCAGACGGAAAGGCCGCGCGCCGTCCAAAGCTACAGCTGACAAACCGCCTAAATTGCACACGAGAGAGAGGAAAAGACAGACAACATGAGAACAGCGTGAGGTGAGACTCGCCGGGGCGGGCCGCGCGGCGCTCACGGAAGGGGTGCCATCGGCAGCTGGCAACCGCCGGAAATGCACGCCAAAATGGCGGGCAATTAGCTGCCAGTGTGGTGTCCCGTGACTGCGGCGTCGGGAGATAGCGGAAGCCGCAAGCGCCTGCGCCTCTACGAGGGGCGACACGCGGGGGGCTGAGCGCGGAAAGGGCTACGCATCCATGCAAGTGGAGCAACCCTTCAGGTGCGTTGAAGCCAATGTGGGTGGCGGCGGAACGAGCGAGTGGCGACGATCGAACAGCAGTTCGCGCAGCGGGACAGACACGTCGTAAGCAGACTGAAGGCAGTCAGCGGGCTGGTGTGGATTTTTGATCGCAACCACGTCGAGAGAAGTCGGGCGGCGTCAAAGGCCCTACGCGCGAGCAACGGCCTGAATTACGGGCACCGCGAGGGGACAGGAAAGAAAAGAAAAAGAGAAAGCGGGGACAGGAACAAACAGGAGCCGTGCCTCGCTGCCGCTCAGGGAAGGCGCGATCGACCCGGAAGATCTTCCAGTCGAAATGCAACACCAAAATGGCGGAATTCAAATGGTGCGACACCACAAACATGCAGAGGAGGACCACTGGCAAGACACACAGCGAATCCAGCGCCAAATCGCGGATGCAAGTGACAGCCGTGTCGCACGCCCAGGTGGGCGTCGAGCAACGCCATGCGGGCGCACGACGGACCAGAGTCCGGACCGCCAGACACCGTCAGGCACGTGACGAGGAGGCTGCCGGCTGGGTGGGTGCGAGCTGGCACGCGCCACCAAGAAGGCGAGGTAGCCTAGCATGGGGACCACTGGGGAGGAACCCGCGCGGTGGGGGAGGACCAGGAGTCCAACGACCCCACGCCGGGGATGGAAGCCGCGGGTCACTGGGAGAAGGGCCCGCAGGCAGAGCCAACGAGGCCGCCGGGGGCAAGCGGACGACTGATAGAGCCGGTCCGCGCCAGTCGCCCAGGAGGCCAGGCGGCGCCGCGGGCAGGGCAAGGGCCGCAGGGCGGGGCGCCGCGGGGGGCAAGCCACAGCAGCGAGACGCCTCGGACGCCCCGGAGTCCCCGAGCCAGAGACGGGGCAGAGCGCCGAACGGGGCCCCGAGCGACCCACGCAGGGCGAGGCGCAAGGGGGGTGGCCCAGCACCGGGAAGCGAAGGGCCACAAGCGACCCAGCGACCTTCAGGGCGCACTGGGAGGCTGGGCGCGCGCCGAAAGCCCCAGCAGGGCGTGCGCCAGGCGGCACTGGGCACGAGGCCAGAGCGGGGAAGCGGGGAGGGCGGGCGCGGGGCGAGACAGGCAGAGGGGGGGAGGAGGCCGGGGGAGGCCGCGCGGGCGCCGGGGACGGGCGAGAGGGCCGACGGCCGCAAGGGGGAGTCGCGCCAGCGGCGGACGAAGAGCGACTAATGGTCGCAAGATTGGAAAAAAGCCCAAGGGCGGGTCGCGCGGGCGCCAGAGGCGGGCGAGAATACCGGCGCCCACAGGGGGGAGTCGCGCCAGGCGGACGGGGAGCGACTAACGGTCGCGAGATTGGCGAGTAAGGGGACCCCGATTGGGGACCGTCGGGGAGAGACCCCCACGGTGGCAGAGACCAGGAGGTGCGAAGGGGCGCCGCGACCATCGGTCGCAAGACGGGCTGCGGCTGCGGCGCGCGTCCAGAGGTGGGCGCGGCACGCGGCCGCCTGCCGGTGGATCTCGCAGGCGTTACAAGTGCTGGGTGTGACCCAGACCCCCGACGTCGTGATTTTTTCATGACGTCGACCCCCAGAGGTCCCGACCCTTTCCCCATGACCGGTTTTTCATCCTGAGACCTCCGGAGGGCAAAAATAGCGAAAAACCTTCCGTCGTGATTTTTTCACGACGCGAGGGGGTCTGGGTGTGAGGCAGTAGCAAGGCTCCCAGGCGAGCGGAGGGGCCCACTGCCGCGCCCAGGGCCGGCGGGTGCTCGCGGCGCGGCCGGGGGCCCCCTGATCCGGGAGCCAAGAAGCGCCGGCGGCGCGGTGGCCCGTCCCCTCGCGCTTGCGCGGGGCGCCTTCTCCTTTCCCCGGTGGGTGAACTTGTCGCGGATAACCGCCCAATTCACTCGGCGGCGGAGAGCCGTGTCCATCGCCAGCGGGTTGCAGCCGCGGCGGCGCCAGGACCGGGGGAATTCCTCACAGGACACAAGGTCCTGTCTGGAGGGGCCTGCGCAGGCGAGGGA